AAGCCCCCCCCCCCCCTATTTACTTTGCCAAAATAGTATCGAAAAGAAGCCCATCTTGAAAAGAAGCCCATCTCTAAAAGAAGCCCATCCAAAGTTCTCAAAGAATTATTATATCTTAAACAAGGGCGCAGATCTGTTTTGAAAAGTGGAGGGGGGGGGGGGGTTTCGTGAGTCCACGCACCTCAGCCACATCATGGTTGGTTCGAACATTTGAGGAAAATAGTAGGTCTACATCTAGATGGCCGGAAATGACACTCTCATCTTTTATCATCAGCGATTTTCGGCAACCATAAGATCTAATTAACATGTGTTATGTATTATTGAGAATAAAACTTAAAAACATACCGTAGTGTTTGATGTATTTACTTTACCACTTCAAAGCCGTTAGCCGGCACGCATCTTAGCCTCATCATGTTGGTAATGAGGCACCTCTAGATTGCCGGGAAATGACTTTTATAGCAAAATTCATCATTATTGATTTATTAATCACTGTGAAGTACCAAAGAAAATAAAACTTGTCATTTGACGTATTTACTTAACTTCACTTAGGCCTTAATATTATTATATAATATACAACAGTATTTCTAGCCGTATTGCTAGATTTATCTGACCGAACGCCCTCTTGAGGCGTAGCATTGTGTAATACAATGTTCCCGATGGTTATTTGGACCTGTTCAACCATGAAGCCTTCGTGGTCTAGTGGTTATGACGCTCGCCTTGTTAGCGAGAGGTCGCAGGTTCGAATCCCGTCGTACACAATGACTCTTATAGGACTCTATTCGTTAGAAAGCTACAGGGTAGCCTACGATGTTCCATCATGTCCTTATTTAAACACACATGTACCTTTGATAATTTATATTATATATAATATTATGTATGTATATACATTGTATATATATATATTATTACATAATATTATTTATATATATAATATATTATATATATATATCCTGATTGATTGAACTGAAAAATTAAAGAGCATTACTAACGCCTTGGGCCAGAGGGCCAGCACATTTCCAATGAGGTCCAAAATTGAAAATTAAAATTACACATAATAATAATTGTCGACTTATATAGCGCATATTGTAGGGACCTCTATGCGCTTACATTATTACCGGATCACTGGACCACTGGACCAAGCACATATGGAACACACACTCAAGCCTCATGGGGGAAATTCCATAATGTTGCAGCTGTATTGAGCCCACTTGTACCTCTGGGTGGCGAGACAACCGTAGATTGTGCCTTTTTCCCCCAGGCGTGCTCAGTGAGAGTTTTGAACCCCCTCAAGTTTGGGAGTCCAAGCCACGACCGATGCGCCAACCACTTCTACATATAAAATCATTAATATTTAAAATTTGAAAATTGACATAAAAATATGATATACAAAATACCAACATCTAAAATACAGATATTGAATTGTTGATTCTAAAAGTTTAAAAAATTGCATCAAAAACAATTTTTAAAAAAAGAAAAAAGTACATAATTAAAAAACAGCCCCCCCCCCCCAAAAAAAAATTGCGACAAGTGGAACTTGTCCTCATCTCCATATTACAGAATAATTGTATAAATGTAAATTTTGTTTTTCTTTAAGTTGTACAGTTAACTAAATTGTAGCCTAAATGCTACTTCTTTTTTACTTGATTTCAGATTTGTTAATCACACCGTACTTGTCATACAGAGTTTCATTTATAATTATGTACTATTTTTATTTTTTAAAAATGTAAAAACAAAATTACTAAAAAACCAAGAAAGTATCTGGGAAAAAAAAAAGGTGTGATTCCGCCCGGGATCGAACCGGGGACCTTCTGCGTGTTAGGCAGATGTGATAACCGCTACACCACGGAATCAACACGTCAGGAATGCTTGACAAAACTCCAATTATTTTATGAAGCAGGAATATTCTATTTTATTCTTAACATAAAATATGTGTACATTTTTAATAACTTTTTATTTATCATTCATGTTACATCAATTGCACAACTTTGTATTATGATTATTGACCTGCTTTAAGAATAGGTAACACATTGCGCTGGTGTGTTCATATTTTACAATACTAACGTATATTCTGAATTATATTTTACCTATTTCAGAATGGTTGAAATTAAAGGCCTCACAACCAATCAAATCGCGACACAAAGGCTGAACTGTTCCACGTTGTACCGGCCGTGTACACCGGCCACACTACTGAAAACTGAATTGCTTAAAATCTCCTGCAAGACGCCCTCTTATTTCTCGACTTGGCCTAGGCTTTGAAAACGGCTATATTTTCCTGCCGGTAAAATCATTTATAATGAAAGTTTTCGTATGTCTTTTGGCCGTATTTGGCCTAACTGTTGCAGATGGTGATGTTTTAGAATTTACAGACGATACCTTCAAAAGCGAGATTGGAAAACATGATATAATTTTGGTAGAATTTTTTGCCCCTTGGTAAGTGCATGCTAATATGATTGATGATCGTGATTATCCCGACACTGTTCACTGTATGTTGTGGGTGGTGGCGGTTCAAAATTATTTTGTTCGCTAACTAGGGCCTAGGCCTAGTGGTGAGGCCCACCTAGTAGGCCTAGGCATCAACAACTGGTCTAGCCGACGTAACATAGGTTATGCCTAGCAACTTGCGGTGCTAGAATTGTACACAGTAAATCTTTAGTTAGGTAGGTAGCTAAACATTAGTACTGCTAGCTATCACAAATTGGTGCAAACCCAATAATTAATATAAATATTCCTTCTACCTAGGCCTAGGCCCCTAGTAGATGCATAGGCACCTAGGCTGGGTGGTTTTTAGGTGCCTAAGCCTAGGCCCTAGTTAAGTAGTAGTAGGCCTTTAATGGCTTAAATAATTTTAAACAAAAGTCTTAGTTGGCTAACTAAACTGGTGGTATGGATTGGTAGCCACTGCACTGTGTGTGCCCTGCTGAGAGTGAGCTATGTCATCTCTTGGTCCCTGGTTCAATTCCCATCACTGAAATGCGAGTTATGAACGATAGCGCACCGCCTTTCAGATGACGACATTTAAGTCGTTGATCACTTGTCCATTACACTTACACTTTGGATTAATAAGATTAATTATAGGTTTAAGCAGTNTCCGATGGGGGGGGGGCACGAAGGTGGGGGGCCTTGATGATCAGTTGAGGGCGCTAATTCGCAAAATATAGTAAAATAGGTGATTTTTAACTACCTTACCGTGATAACTCACTGCATGCTGAAATTCAGTGTTTACGATTATATTTTTTTAGGTGTGGCCATTGTAAAAAACTTGCTCCAGAATATGAGGTGGCAGCTACTAAACTTAAACGTGCTGATCCTCCAGTTCCCCTCGCTAAGGTGAGTATAAAAAAGCACAGCCACACACTTATCCCACACTTCAATGGTGCTCATGCTAAGATTAGTATAAAAGAGAGAGAGAGACCCATGCCAACACTTCCTAATTGTTACCCTAGCTCTGGTGAGTAGAAAATGCCACTCTCAATACAGTTGAACTTGCCTAAGTCGAATCCAAAATGGCATTGAAAAATTGTTTGACTTTTATAAAATTGTACTTTTTGTACAGATCGTTAAGTAATGGAAAACACAACAATTTGGCATGTAAAATAAGATCGACTTAGAAATTATTCAAGTTTAACTGTATAGGATAAGTAGCAAGACTGGAAATTGAACAAAGTACACAGAATAATACAGTTGAACTTGCCTAAGTCGAATCCAAAATGGCATTGAAAAATTGTTCAACTTTCATAAAATTGTACTTACAGATCGTTAAGTAATGGAAACACATCAATTCGGCATGTAAAATAAGATCGACTTAGAAATTATTTCAGTTTAACTGTATAGGATAAGTATTCAAGGTCTCTATTCAGATTTAGATGAAAAAATTACAAACAAACAGCCAAAAGGTTGTATATGAATGTATTACATTACAAAAATAGCAACGTTATACAGTTAAAAAACACCAAAATTTCAGAAATTCACAAAGAAAGTTCTACAAAAATAGTTATACAGTTAAAAAACACAAAAATAAAAAAAAATTCACAACACAAAGAATAAAAAGAAAAAACCCAGGGATAAGAAGCACAGCACCAAAAAACCAAATTAAAATGAAAAAAAAAGGAAGCGATAAAAAATGCATAAGTAGCAAGACTGGAAATTGAACAAAGTACACAGAATAATAATAATTTTTTTTTCTTTAGATTAAATTTCATTTAATTAGATGTCATTTTTTGTAAGAGATTTAATGCTCACATCACTTTTGAACTTTTTAGGTAGACTGTATAGAAAACAAAGACACTTGCTCTGAATTTGGCGTCAGTGGTTATCCAACACTAAAGATATTCCGTGATGGAGAGATTTCATCTGATTACCAAGGACCAAGAACAGCTGGTAAATTTATTGCAGTAATTTCCATTTTTCTATATCTCTATTTCCTTTTTGTGTAGGTAAAATTCAATATGTGATTGCATGTGCTGCAACTACCTAGCATTTAAGCACCCCAGAATACCAACCCAGTTTTATTATGTAACGTTATATTTGAAAAAGAAAATTGGTGGTGACCCAAGCAGCATCTGGTGTATATGGGATTCTCTCACTCGTATCAATATTGTATCATGTATCAGTGAAGTTAATTTTATGTTTTAAAGTCTATATGGTATGAACATCTCAATATGAGTGATTTTAAGTATATTTGAACTGTTTCATATTTGATCATTAAACCACTAATGGGTTTATTCCCATGTGTATAGTGTTGTAGTGTATTTTAATGACCAATTACCTCACTGGATTCATTCATACAATGCATATCATCATTGTATTTGTTTCTAAATCTAGTTTAATACAGATCTATATATGATGCATACATTACCAACAAAATAAATAGAATTTTTCCCAAATATCTGTTATAAAAATGTGAGCTGTTTTCATTGATTTTGGAAAGGTCTGTATATAATCTTGTTTGATTATTGTTAATAAAAATATTATTAGCTTAGATTAGGTGTCATCATATTTGCTCATATGGCAAATTTGCAATGGTTATCTTATGGTTACATTAGAAGTTTCTTCTCCTGGACTCACTAGCAAAGTGGTCAGTATTGGATAATCCAGAATTAGTAGCTGCTGTTCTGATCAGATTTGTTATCAAGTGTCCTGTATTAATATATTATTTTTGTTTGTTTTTTTTAGATGGAATTGTGAGTACAATGAAGAAACAGTCAGCACCTGTAACCAAGGAGTTGAGCACTGTTGATGAAATAAACGCATTCATTGACAACTTTGATGTTGGTATCGTAGGTAAGACTTGTTGTAAATGTGTTGACATTTACTAATTTTACAAGAATATTCTTTGACATATGAGAGACTTTTTTTATCATTTCATACTGTATTTGTGTTACTCATGGTTGTTTCTGTGGTAAATAATTAATTTCGATTGAAGACTATTTTCACTGCATAGGTCATTATTCCTGCCAAACCCAGATACATCAAAGCACTAAAAATTGACATCAAATGACAAAAGTGAGTTATTCATAAGACTTGTTATGAATAACTTGTTTTTGTCATTATATTGCAAGTGTTGTGTACCCTCTAATATTTAAAGACAATGAATGTTAGTAGTTGTCAATTTTATTTTTAAGGTAATGCTTGTTGTATTTTCTCCTATTTGTGTCATTATATTGCAAGTGTTGTGTTCCCTCTAATATTTGAAGACAATGAATGTTAGTAGTTGTCAATTTTACTTTTAAGGTAATGCTTGTTGTATTTTCTCCTAGGATATTTTACCAGTGCTAATAATGCCAAGTCAGAGTTTGCCAAGGCAGCAAGCAAGCTGTTTGAAGATTACCGCTTTGCATTCACAATATCTGAAGATGCCCTTAAAGAATTTGGATACTCAGAGTAAGTAAAAACATTTACTGGATTGAACCCGAGATCCCTTAACCAGCTAGGTATAAGCAAGATATTGACCTGACTCAACTGATCAGTTCCATTATGGATGCAAGGATGCATGAGGAGCCATACTAGTAGCAAGCATACCCTAATCATTTGAAGTAATCCCTAATTATGTTAGTCACTAACCAAGTTCTTTTGTTCTTCAGTCAAGTTGTGTTGTACAGACCAAAACGACTTAAAAGCAAGTTTGAAGAGAATGAAGTTGTTTTCGAAGGCGATGTCAAATCTGGAAAATTGCAAACATTTATAACTGATAACAGGTAATAAGAAAACAGTTGATTGAATGCATGAAACATTTTTTGACATCAAAATCATTGCTGGTGGAGAGTAACCAAACCAAATTGCTGCAAGGGATAGAGTAGGAAAATATGTATAATGCATGCCATACCTCGAGATACAGATAACTTTAGTATATCGCAAGTGAAAGCTAGCAAATGCATGCCCTCCTACGACATAGATTGGTGGTCCACAGAGAAATTGGAAAAGTCCAATCCACATAGTAAATTAAAATTGCTACACAACAATGTGAACTGTATAAACAAATAGTTGAATGAAAAAAACAAGCTTTATCAGTTGTATGAAAAATGCCTCTGTTGTAACTCAAATCTGCTCACTCTAAAGGCGAATGCCATTCCACTGGTCTACATAATATGTCAAATCCAACCAAATGTAATACTGTACAGGCTTTCAAACAACTGATATAACGATTGGCCCTTACTAGTATAAGAATACAAAACAATAATAAAATTTGCTGCTGGCGGAGCGAAAGTATTGTGATTGCGGTATTATTAGTCATTTAGTGTTCAATGTGTTCCATATGTGTTTGATCCAATGACCGGGGTAATAATGTGAAGCGCTTAGGCTTTGTTAAGGCATTAAGCGCTATATAAGAACGACATATTATTATTATTACAGTAGAACCTCGTTTTTACATACCCCAGTTATACGAACCCTCGGTTTTACGTACGCCTCGTATCGACGATGACGTCATCAAAAACCCCGAAAATATTCAAAACAAATGGCCCTTTTTAGAGCAACCATAAGTAAAAAGACTATAAAAATAAACTATAACAATAAACAAACCATAATGCAACGTATTTTCATTAAACAGCAACGTTGATTGAGTGTAATACCGGGTTGTTATAATCTAAAACCAAGTGAACTGAGTGAGATGAACAACTACCGATGGTGCTCAAAATAATTGCTTTCCTCCTTAGCTTCGTGTGGCAAACCATGGAAAAACTTGTCTGGTCTAATTTTCTACACGAAGCTGAGTAGGCATAGTTTCGTACACGAACGCTAATAGGTTGGCTCGCCCAGTGCAGTGCACATGGTTTTGCTGTTTCACGTACACGAACGCTATTTGGTTGGCTCGCCCAGTGCACATGGGTTTAGTTTGTCTCAACAGGCCCAGACAACACCACAGCTCTGTTGTTTAGAATAGGCAAGAAGGGGAATTCCCAAGTTATACCTTTGTCGTATAGGTAATCTTACAATATTTTCATGTTCTTGTGTTAAATAAAAGACATAAAGTGATGAATTAATACACTAGACACATGGTTTTATTTCAACACTTTATTATGACATCGTTAAGTGATGAATAAAAACACTAAACACATGGTTTTATTCGTAGGCCTAAAGGCTAGCCTAGCTAGATAACATCGTTCGTTCATACATACGTATATTGAGCGTTACGCACGTATTAGGTCAAAGGTTACCACAAATTTAACCCAACCTGTATTTTACGAATCCCCCGATTTACGTACGCCCTCCAGTCCCGTACCGTACGTAAAATCGAGGTTCTACTGTACTATTATTATTATCATTATAGTAAACATAACTAGAGTATGTATGATGCAGACATACTCCAGTTATGGCATTGATGTAGACACAGAAATATTGGTAATCTAATCAATGTACTATTTTTACTGAACATTGTATGTGTTTTTTTTGTTTTTTTAGCAAAGGTTTGTGTGGACATATGACAACAGACAACCAAGATCAATTCCAGAAACCACTTCTTGTTGCATATTACAATGTCGATTATGAAAAGAATCAAAAAGGTAAAGTAAATGTCAATAGCCATTTATGATACCATGAATAATAATAGCTAGCCTGTGAAAGATAATGTGTAACCTGTCAATTGCTCATTCACCCAGATCAATTGTCAATGTGATACAGATAAAATATAAGAATCTGCCAGACTTATTGACTAAGAATATAAAAAGAATATACTGTACAGTATTATTTATCTGTACATTTGTGTAGAAAATATTTTACAAATATTAATAAACAATTCAGTTATTTCCCATGACTAGGTGGGTTTTATATGTGTACGATTGTTATTCCTGTGACAAGGGAATGCATATATGTGCTAGGTACCAGCATAATAATAAACAAACAAACTAATTTATTTAAACTCTGTAAATAAACTGAACCTGGATGAGTAACATTTATTCTGCAATTATAATATATTTAGTGAGCCTTTGCTTGATTTCAGAGAAATTTTATTTTTTTGGAAAGATTGTTGCAAGATGGCACAACAAACAATATTAAAATATTTTCTCTATCCAAATGGTTTTTCTAAAAGCATAGATAGAAAAAAATATTTAACAAATAATAATAATAATAATAATAATTTTGGCTTATATAGCGCATTATGCTAAAGCCTCAATGCGCTTAACAGTAAAAATAAAATTCGGGAAAAAAAATTAAGAAAAATACAAGCTAAAAAGGTGAGTTTTTAAAGCTGCCTTAAAATCATCAATGGAAGTTGCCTGTCGGATTGTAATAGGCAGAGCATTCTAAAGAAAGACAGAAGCCCAAGAAAAAGAACGACTACCATAATGCTTTTTCTAAGAACAATAATATTTATGAATGAAAAAAATACCAAGTGAACAGTTCATTGAATAGTCGATAATTACTTCAATTCAAAAGAAACATTTATTTACTTCCTTAGACAATCTTAATAATATTAATTATGGAAAATTATAATAAAGATTTAATCACATGTTTTTCATATACTAAAAATAAAGATTCGGAAATGGAAGAAGGCAAATGGCCGAAAAGATTTGAAGCAAATCTTGTGTTGGGCCAGCCTAAAATAAGAAAACTTAATATGTAATTGAAAAGAAGATTAGAAGATTTCATGACGACACTGATCTGATAAAAACAAATGTGAGGTGGCAGGCCACAAATAAATTTGATATTTTTATTCAAGACATTGTCAGCAGGGATTGGGTTTGCAAAACAAAGGTTGAATAAAAGACTCTCTTTATTGTTGCCGGTTAAACAACTCCTAAATATACAATTAGAAATTTGAATATGAATATATAAATTGCATTATGTTTATATTTCAGGCACAAACTACTGGAGAAACAGGTAAGAATTTATTTTATTTGTATATGGCCCTCACTTAATCTGTTCACCTAGACCTCACTTAATTCTGCTTACCTGGCCCTCACTTATGCTGTTCAGTTGGCCTCACATAAATTAGATATTGTTTTCGTATTTTTAAATTTCAGAGTAATGAAGGTAGGCAAGAAGTATGCAGGGAAAACTTTGAACTACGCTGTTGCCAACAAAGGTGAATTTGCTTTGGCTTTAGAGGAATATGGACTTGCAGACACCGGGTCTGATTTACCAGTGGTTGTCATACAGGGAAGCAAAGGAGAAAAATTCAGGATGGAGGATGAATTCTCGTAAGGACTAAAAAATGTATTTAAATAATATTTATTTTAATAAAAATAATAATGATCATTTATGTAGCAACTTTTCCTCGCGGTTACAAAGCGCTTGTATCATACAAATGAATCTTAAATCCGCTCAAAGAATACTGGCTATTTAAACTATTTTTATTTTGATTTAATAAATGATATAAATTAAAATGGCAAAACGATTTGCAGAAAATCTTCAGGAAGTCGCTATCTGTCTCTGCTCTGGCGCAATCCCGGACCCCTACCTAGGTGACCAGGTGCTCAGAGACAGTGACCGAGACAGCGGCTCCCAGAAGATAATGCAGGCCATTGCAAGAGAACAATATAGAGCTGATTATTGAAATAGGTTAAACAGATGCGTTTTAAGAGTACGTTTAAATGTATCTAAAGATATGCAACACTTCAGTCTCAGGCAATTGATTCCACAACCTAGACGCAACAACTGGAAACGATTTATCACCAATTCTCTTCTTGTAAAAAGGAGTGGTGAATTGCACAGATAATGAAGAGCGCATAGAACCAAGCAGTCAGTGATATATTGCGGACACATGTTCTGCAGTGACTTGAAGACCATCGGTAATATCTTGAATGAGATGATCGTGCGTACAGGCAACCAGTGTAGTTGAACAAGAAGAGGAGATGTATGTGCAGGTGGTCGGACCATGAAAATAATTCTGGCAGCAGAGTTCTGCAATTTCTGTAGTCATTGGATCTCCTGATTGAGGCCACTATAGAGCGAATTACAGTAGTCCAGACAGGCTAAGATGAGAGCTCGCACAGATAACAGCAGATATATTAAGTAGTCATAGAAAATTGGAAAAGGAAGGGAACATTTTTGACACTAGAAAGTCATGGAAAATTTATTGACATTTTAGGAAAAAAGTGTTGGCTACACTGCATACTCTCTGCTGTTCTTGTTTCATCTCATAGATTTGAACATTCATAGTATGCAATATTAAATATGAGGAGATCCTATGAAAATGAACTGATGTCGCATCAAAGTTCCTTTTTTAGTTTTCTCCCACAATTCCATTTTACCATCCTAACTGAATTTACTTTCTCAATAATGTGATGCACAAACCCATAGAGTACTACAGTGTCACGATACAAAATGCGTTTAACCGGACCAATTGTCTCCACTGACAAACCAGATGTTATATCTTAATTTTTCTTCTTAATTCTATTTTAATTGATGATTAAATGTGTGTTCGATAACTAATACAGTGCGAGCTTTTGTGTTTTTAGTACATTTGATGGTATAATATTAGATTTTAAAATACCTATTCCAGAAAGCCTATGAAGGCATTCAGGCGTAATGAACGGTAACCAACGTCAGGTTGACAACAAAGGGCACCACCTGGCGCTGTGACGACACGACCGTGGTACGCTATGGGGGATTTGTATATATAATTAATTGTTTTAATATTTATGTATTTAAATCTTTCTCATATTTCAGTCGTGATGGTGCCACCCTAGATGCCTTTATAACTGCATTCTTTGACGGCAAGCTTGAACAGTATCTAAAGAGTGAACCGATCCCTGAAGATGATGAAGGGCCAGTCAAGGTAACTACATAATAATCACTCTTGCATCACCATTAGGCCAAAAAAGAAAAATTGTTATGTTGTTCTTAAATGAAAAAAATTGAGATCGTCGGTTGGTCGGAATTTTTTTTTTTTTTTTTTTTTAGTAATAGGCCTAGGGCCTACCTTAAATAAGATAGGTCCTCAAACTGCAGTCCCTACTATGAATACCCTAGGCCTAAGACCTCGTATCGTAGGCACCACAATAGAACGATGGCAAGCTTGCCAAACAAAAAGTATTCAAAGTAATGACTGAATAAGTACTAACCAAGTGTATATTGAAATAAATTTAACAAAAATAAATCAGTTTAAAGAAAGATTTATTTGGCTTCAAAATGTGAAATAATTTGTGTATCCGATCCGCACGACCACGCACAGGCAGGCCGAGCAAAACTATTCTGTGGTTATGAAAAATTTCCAAACAAGTGCCCTTTATGTAATATAATCAAAGTAAACTTTGAGAAAAAAAAAGAATAATATTTCATTCATGGTTGGCCTAAAACTGTAACAGAGCCTAAAATGTCTAGCTATGCATCAGCTTTAAAGTGATGGCTCGACCTAAGCCTGTTTTAATATATTGTCCTATATACGGTAAGGTAATGAATACCATTTTTGATTCAAGCAACCACTAGTTGTACAGTATTAAGTTTAGGCCTAGATCTAGTCATGGCTTGACAGAGCTCAGCGCGAGCGAGAGATCCGATAATGCGTGCATCGTCAACGCGCTCTGTTTCAAAATTATGCCTTCTATTATACCAATTTTAGGTATGCATCTATGTCCTGATTTTGGCAAAAAAATACATGTCTGTTTTAGATTTTATGAATTTGTATTAGAGTGAAAAATGAAAGGAAGTCTGTTGAACAAAATTTCAAAAAAAAAAAAAAATGCCAACCCAATTTTTTGGAAATTTTCGGTCGGTAGTGGAGGGTAACACAGCATTTTTTTTTTTTTTTTTTTTTTTTTTTTAAGGGCCTTATTACCTTGTGTTTGCTTTATTCTCAAATTACCGAAATGGCCTGTTTACCTATTTAGTTTCATTTGATAACCCTTATCATTTGGGCTGCAATATCCAACTGATGGCTGTATGTCTTTTTAAGATGACTAAAATGAATAATAATGTAGTAAAATCTTCTATATTACTAAATAATTTTAAAATATTTAATGGTGTTGAAAATAGTGTTGTACCATATTGAAGCCCATTCACCTATTGCTCTCAAACTTTATTTTGCCTTTGAAGGACAGACTGTACACCTTGTCTCTTATAATTTGTTATTAATAATTATTGGTTTTAAATTTTAAATAGTGTTCATCAATGCCCCACTTTTTTATTTAAATTAAGTTAATGTGTTGTAAAACCAAAGATACTAGAAACACAAGATAGAGCTCTTCACAGAAAAAACCTGTTCCACCAAAATGCATGTTGGGAATACAAACAATGGGGCACCACATACGGCTGGATCTAAGAATACTTCTGCCAAACTTACATAACGGTGAATACATAACCTCCTTTGGCAGAGGTAGAAATCATTGCCATAATCCATAAGATACAAACAAGTAGGCATTAATAAATCGAAAGAATAAATGGCAGACACAAAAGCAGAACACAATAACGGCACAGTTTCACGGCTACCTCGCTCCTAGTTCCGGTGCTGGAACAAGTCTTCTCAGATAAGGACTATAAACCATAGGCCCAGTGTACACAAATGCTGATGTGCACTTTAAAGAACCCAGTGCATCTTTCGAGGTGAGTAGTGGGTTTTCCCGGTGTACTGCCCCATACGGCCCTTGTTGTCTTGTGAAGGGATTGCCACTTTGAAAAGTGATTTAGTTCACTGTTTGACATATCCTTGGCCCTTGTGCCTAAAGCGGAATAAATAGAATGAGTTCCCATCATTAGCAAAAAGAGAAGGGCGCCGCATACGTCAGGATTTACTTAGCAACAGAAGGGCGTCCTTACGTCTAGATGTGGTCTGGATCAACTTGCGTAAATTGCTATTATTGAAAACAGAAGGGTGCCGCTTATGTCTGGATTTTTTTTTTTAAATGCAACATATTTCCACCTCATTTTTGCTATGCGAGTCTATCTTGTGTTCCTAGTTTGGTAAACTTCCAATAAAAATGGCCAGCGTCGGTCTAATAGATTATGCAATAGGTAAAACTTCCAATATCAGAAGAAATTTTGTTCATCTTTACAATTTAGTAATTGTATCCATTATGGGCTATCCCCACAAAACATTGTTGACATAAATAAACAAACAAATAAAGATATAGCCAGCAATGGATTCCATTGCAAGGTAGATAAAACAGAATCAATAATATTGATGTTATTTGCAATTTAGGTTGTGGTTGCCAAGAATTTTGACAAAGTCGTTAATGATGACACTAAGGATGTTCTAATAGAATTTTATGCCCCGTGGTGTGGCCATTGTAAGAAACTTACACCAATTTATGAAGAACTAGCCAGTAAGGTAAGTACCTTGTATAACTGGGTTTGGAAGCCTCCATTTGGTACAAATGTAAAGGATGGGTTTAGTAGAAGACATCGCTATGAGTATTCTCTTTAAAAAGCTAATGTGCAAGTTTCCCACATGAAGCACTCGACCTGCAGCAGGCAAGATTTATATCTGCATTTGTTTTTAGTTGTTTTATTATTCCTTCAACAAACAGTACAGAAACACTTCTGTTTTACAAAGTTGATTTTATACATGATTGATTTTATGAATGAAGTTTGCACTCGATGATGTCATCGACCAAATAATAATTTGATTTCCTTTGTTTATAAATGTGGTAATGCATATTTTTGTTATTAAAATAAAAATGTGTCAATCATCAATAATGACTCCTTTCTTGCAGCATCTGGGTCCAAAAAACAGATATTTTAATAAGAGTAGGTTTTTCTAGGCTAGTGCAGTAAGCCTTGTGGCTATACGCTCACACTAGAATAAAATTTTCTTTCATCAAAATGGCGAAAGGTTTTTAATTTTTTTCGCCAAATTGAAAATGATTTAGCCAAATTTCACAAAAACTGTTCTGTAAATGAATTTCTTGCTTATTTATGTCTTATTCAAATTAATGATTGAATTAACCACAAAGGAAACACAAACGATATGTGGGACCGGTGGCTACCAGACCTGCTCTAAGTCTACGGCTAGGCCCTAATTAGTTACATGTGGGAGTATACTAGAAAGTGCCTCACTGTTTGATGCATTACAAGCGATTGCTGCTTCAAGTACTGTACCGGACAGTTGTACCTGTTGTTTTGCTCTACTGCACAGCATATGTAATTATCAATAAAATTGATGCTTTTATATTGTTTGACATGCATTTTCGGTCTTGTGTATTTTTTTCTAAACACAACACATTCATCGTCATCACAATGACCCTTGCTGAGTGTCGGAAACCGCACCTCCAAAACTCTGCCTGCCAATTGGTTAATTTTGTTGCGGTGGCAGTGTGCAAACACTGATTAGACTGGGATGATGTCATAGTGTGTGACAGGAACAAACTGAATGTAATAACCGATAAAGTTTTAATTAAACAAATTTATTTAAACAAATAAAGAAATTCTAATGGTTTTATTTTAGAGATAAATATAAGTAATTCTAACAAATTTAAATTTCATTCTCTACAAATCCGTAATTAAAATAGCAACATGAGTGGGGCTATGTATTTTTGTAATCTACACTGATGAATCTAATGACGTCCAAATTAAACGTCTTTTGAAAAGGATCACTCGCAGAAACTTGCTTTGAGTTTTGTCTGTTGGAAAGTGTAACTTTCATTTTATGTAAAATTAACATTTACTGGCATATCATTTTAATTACATGGCATCTGGTAGGCCTATGCTTGTTGTTTTGTTATATCATAGAGAAAATAGAACAGTTCTATTTTCTCTATGGTTATATCTTATTACGATAACTGATCGTTCGGTTTTAGAAGTTGATTTTTGTTTTTGGACCAAATAATACATTCAGAATTAGGAGACATTTAGATTTTCAGAATACATGTTGTATAATAACTGGTTACATAACAAAATCACCTAAGAAATATTGTTTTAGCGTTCCCTACAGCCTGGGAACAATAGTTTTAGGGTGTCATGTGCAGGCAGTGATCAGACTGTTTGCTTCAAAACTGCCCATGCATGTCCATATGCATGCCCAGAACGATCTATCTATCTGGGATTTTCCACATGTTACTTGACTGTCTGTAAATCTGTACTGCACATGCGGGGAAAATAGGGTAACAGCTGGCGTTAGCGTAGCCCTTGGTACCAAACGGTACATGAAACAGAAATGTTACTGTATTTGTAACAAAAATAAAGTGTCAAGTATGCAGCCATTAGTATTAAGTTCTGAAACAGTGCATCTTTTTTTATACAGTTGGCTAATGATGAAAATATAGTTATTGCTAAGATGGATGCTACTGCTAATGATGTTCCACAACCATTTGAAGTTAGAGGGTAAGTCTTCTGGTTTGTCAGTTAATTATATGCAAGATTCCTTAGTACAAGGGGCGATGGGATGCCTATGTTAAGGATGTTGGACTGCTTTTGTTGGTAAGGTGATTACTTTGATATGATGAGGGACTACCTTGATGGTAAGGGTGATGGACTGATTTTGTGAGCAAGGTAATTGACTACCTTGATAGTAAAGGTGATGGACTGTTTTTGTGAGCAAGGTAATTGACTACCTTCATGGTAAGGGTGATGGACTGCTTTTGTGAGCAAGGTAATTGACTACCTTGATAGTAAGGGTGATGGACTGCTTTTGTGAGCAAGGTAATTGACTACCTTGATGGTAAGGGTGATGGACTGATTTTATGAGCAAGGTAATTGACTACCTTGATGAGAAGGGTGATGGACTGCTTTTGTGAGCAAGTTAATTGACTACCTTGATGAGAAGGGTGATGGACTGCTTTTGTGAGCAAGGTAATTGACTATCTGGATGAGAAGGGTGATGGGCTGATTTGTGAGCAAGGTAAATTGACTACCTTGATGGTAAGGGTGATGAACTGCTTTTGTGAGCAAGGTAATTGACTACCTTGATGGTAAGGGTGATGGACTGCTTTGTGAGCAAGGCCTTGATGAGAAGGGTAAGTAACCAAACTCTGCTTTGTTGGGAAAACTGAAGGACTGCCTTCATTTGATGAGAGCTTTGTTGATGAGAAAGCTGAGTCACTGCCTTGATGAGATGGGTGAGTCACTGCCATGGAGAAGATGGGTGGGGGACTGCCTTTGTGAAATTTTCTTTGTGTAGCAGAGTGAAGTGATAACTAATTCCAGGGGATGAGGGGCTTTGATGAAAAGTGTGAGCGATTTCTGTAGTGCAAATTGTGATAGGTGCTTTGATGAAATGAGGGGATTTCTTACTATTAAATCATGTGAATATTGTATTTTGTAGCTTTCCAACATTATACTGGGCCCCAATGAGTGGCAAACCAAAGAAGTATGAGGGTGGACGGGAAATTGATGATTTCGTATCATACATCAAACGAGAAGCTACAAAGAAGCCTGTTGACCTCACCTCCAAGAAAACCGAGTTGTAACTGGGAAATTTTTTAACATTGATACAACTGATTTTTTTTTTTTCCTCTTTTTTGGTTATTAAATCTTGGTAGCTTAAATAATTTTGAGTAAACTAGCTGCAAAACACAGTGAAGCCAAGTAAAACTAGCTGCAAATCACAGTGAAGCCAACTCTCAGTTTTAATTGTTTTTGCCATCCTGACAAATATAAATGAAAATAGAAATATGAAATATGCTGATAATTAGAATTCTTTGGATGAAAGACTTTTGACCTGGATCTTCATTGGGATTCATTGTAGTACTTAGGTGGTGACATGTTGTAGAAGGACCTAATGCTAATCTTAAATGTTTTACTACCTTGTTCAGATGACCACTGGTGGGGAAACATTCAGATCTTTCAAAGGAGATTAATTCCGAGTTTATTCTGTTTGTAGTAAATTTTTATTTATTATTGCAATATGCTTGCACTGCCAGAATGACCAAACAATTAAAAATAATATTAAATCATGATGAATTTACCTATCAATCATGCCTTCATTCTTGCAGCATCTGTTTTTGTTGAATATTTTTCTTCAGTTTCAGCAAGAATAAATGCAAAATAAAGCTCTATGATAATTGGATCAAAATGTGTCTAGCTGCTCATTATTTAGTTTTTTTTTTTAGAGAGTAAATTATTCTTGTTTATATTTGCTTCCTTTACCGCCAAACCTTCAAAAGCAATAAAGGTGTTGGGTACATTTGGTTTAAAATCAGTTTAATATTTAGAATGAATGTTGTTTCTTTATTGAATACAATTCAAATTACTGTACTGTCTTTTTTTTTTTTAGAGAATCCTGTTCCTACTTTTTTTTTTTTTATCAAGGTCACTGAGTCCTAAATTAAAGTAACCCCCTTTTCAAATAGAAAAGATATATAATAAAATAGATTCTTTTGTTTTTCAAAGCATGTGACCAATTTGTTGTTGCTCAATTCTAAGTAATGACATCAGCAGTGTTTAATGGCTGTTGTAATACCGGTGTTCAGTTTGCGTTGTGACCTGATTTTTATCATTGTTACGAAGAATACAGTTTTCTCGATCATTTTAAATGTGGACCGTACTGTGTTTGTTTATTACTATGTACTTTTACAACTGCTCTATTTACACCATGCTCTATTAACCTCTAGTTTTTGAAACCACAAAAATAGAGTGAATAAAACAATCACATCAAACATGTTTGTGTGTTCTTCGTCTGTTTTGTTTTCGAAATGGTGCATAATATATCTTCACATTCCCATTCTTTAAGACATTGGAATTCTGGATAGACACATAACATGCTGTCTTTCTGGTACTAAATTCCCTCATCCCCCAACTGTCATCAGTTACCCAGACAGAATGTTTTGTTGCAGTGGCTTGAGAACTGATTGCGTTGGAGCTTAATAACCATGGTTACCATAATTCCTGATGATAGCAATTCATTGTTGGCACATATCAAGCCACTGTACCATGTATTACTGCATGCCTACTTACAACCTCCAAAAAGTCGGGAGCTTCAAGGAGGCTGTGTCTCCTGCACACCTGGTTAGGTAAGGGAACACCCCCTAGGGACAGCGTGTCCTCGATTTTATCTGGGTGCTCCCCTGCCAAGCTAGCAATAAATACTCTGGATGCGCCCTGTATTAGGAAAGTTTCTAAACCATAAAATACGGTGTTGGAATAAATGCCACGTCACAAACGCTCCCCCCAAGGAAAATGGAATCTAGTAGAATTGCATTTCCTCCTACCTGGTTGCATCAATAAATCTTTCTGATCACGCAATAACACATTTTGACGGTAATTATGTGTCGTACTTCAAAATTACAGTGAAATTAAGGGACGTTTATTTGAGTATTATACGTTTCAATTTTACACCAAAATAAACACCTCCCTCGAATAAACATCCTCAAACACCCTTCTTAACAATAGAAGACGTACGGTAATAGGACTGAAAATGTCGAGTTATTTTCGTACATTTTCACGTGTATCCTATTCAAGTATTTATAGTTGATATCTTGCATTGGGAGAATGCTTTATTAAGTAGACATTACTGTACTTTTAAATCAACCACATTAATATGGTGTTTGTTGACCAATTTATGATCACGCAATAACACATTTTGACGGTAGTTCCCCATTGCAGTGAAATTAACTCCCCTCAAAAACCCTTCTCAATGACAACATTAAACGCTCTGCCCCGAATACGGATGGTAGGCCTATTATCCCCACAGGGCCGATTTAAAATCTGGTTAATTGGCTACTCAGGCTTTCCACAAATATTTCTAGCCTTCTTGTTATCACTGTGGAAATATTCACTTAAAAGTATGCCTAGGGCCTATGAAGATAGGCCTATTAGCATTTCATTCGGTTTTCAAGAGTATATTTCAACTCTGAAAGGGTTATAACAGGTGTCTGTAATTTTCAAATTCTTATAACCTCTTCATTAAATATTTTCTATGGCGATATATGATTTAACAATTTTTCATTCGACTTTAAATTAAGTGTTTTGAGAGCGTCATTTCCGAATGCATATAGGTCAGTTGTGGCGCCAGTGCACGCCCCGCGGGGGCCCCCATCGTGGGTAGGAGTCCCCCCCCCCCGGTCGGGAAGAAAAACCAGAATTCGTCGGGGAGAAAAAAGTGTAGGCCTATATGTATTTTCCATATTAGTAGACTCTAAAATCGATTAATAAGCATTTGACACACCTAAATTGTTTGGTACCGTATGCTTTTTGACTATTTTCTTTAATGTGATGAAACATCAAATTTATAATAGGCAAAAAGTGGTCGAAAGTCTAGCTGCGCCCCCTGGAACATTCGAGAGCCAAATTTTATCTCGTCGGGGATGTCCCCCATCCATCGACCACCGACGGGCAAATACTGGCGCCACCCCTGCTACAAGTACCATAACTTAAAAATTGTTCGTGCCCCATCCTGGTCCGGGAGAGGAAGGTAGATTAACTCGCCTGATTGAAACTCTAAAATCCAGCCTATTAAAAAAGGTCTTTTGAAATTGTAGGAGATTCCATAGCTTGGCTCTTTGGTATGGTGATACAGTCGAGGTGTATCTCCATGCCCAAGTTACATTATGTACTTTTATAATATTCATTGCGTATTACGTAACACCTTGAGAAAAAATGTGTCAGCCTAATTGGAAAATTCAAGGTGCAATGCCACTTGGCCTTATAGCTCAGTTGTCAGAGTCCGAACGGTAATCGGAAGGTCTTGGGTTCAGATCCCGATGGGGTTGCTATTTCCTGGCATTCTGATGTAGGCGTTCACTCAAATCACATCTGAATTGTTAGCTTCCACTAACAAAAAATCCTGGACCCGACCAAGGCAATTCAACAACCGACCCTGGCCCATTGAAATTAATCTCCCATAACTGATTTGATAAATAAACAAAAGTATAATCTTAATGGATCATATGATTATTTAATTTTCATCAACATGCCATAAATTACTCGTAATGATTAGATATATCACCTACAGTGTAGTAATTAGCATAATGGAATATTAAGTGACGGACACTCGCACCTCAAAGATGCGTCGGCGGCGTCTCTTGCTGACCAGCTAACGTAACGCTCATTACTTCACGTTACTACCAATTTGGTACGGGTTAACTAATGAGACAGACTAGAAGAACAAAATGATGAAATTATTCAAATATGTACCGGGTAACGTCATTTTCGCGTAGCTATAGGTCTACAACCCATGTACCGTGTATTAGATACATAAATATTGTGAAGTTTTCCGGTGTCACGGGAATGTTTTACCTCAAATTTCTTTTCCGGGCCTCCCTTCTGTATACGTAAGGAGTAAGTTCGACTTTCTACCATTCGAATTCCTCTAAAGGTGGGACAATCATCAATCGTAGAAAATTGTTGGGCTCCGTGGCCGCATTTACTGGGATTTCGGATCGGAGCCCGAATTCCATGCACGGAGTGCCAGCGGCTGATTTCGCTATGGATTAGGCTCGGGAAGGGTGACATCACCATGATTGTAAGAGTTATTTCAAAATAGGGCCTAGTATAGGCCTAATAAGAAATAATTATCAGATTCACATCTGCTATCTGATATCAAGGAGCGCGTACTATCATTCACACATCATCATCATCGTATCATCTGAGATACATTACATTACATTGCAGTTTCAACACACAATAAATAATAGTTACAGAAAACTTAACATCAGTCAGCTTTATTAGTTTACGTTTAAGTGCATCCGTTTCTCAACATCAACACCATATAAAAATGGAAACCGTGGACTTCTGGTATTTCAAATAATCATTCTGTTAAGTAGACATCTTATATAGAAATATAAAATTACAATCTATTTTTAAATATTTTTTTTTCCAATAAAGCCTTCTCTAACACACCACGCACGCCCACGCACTAAGGATTCGTAAAAATAGCTTACATCATAATATCATCACATAAAACTCGGCAAAAGAGTGTACATTTAATGTGATTAAAGAGTGAGCCCGCACATTCTTCTGAGCGCCGTGGCCTACGCGCTTTCCACGCAAGTGTGCGAGTATCCCGTGAGTGTGTCGGCCATTAAATCTTCTCTCGGTTCGATGACCGTAAAGTTTGATTTCATCAAAATACAGGTTTGAAATGTATCCGTAAGGAATTCCTTTGCAAAAATGACACCTAATATATTTTGAGTACTAATGCAAGATATATTAAACTAGGCTACCTTGACTGAACCTCAACGTGAATCATCAGTTCGAAGAAATGCTTTTCCTGAAAGCTTAAAAATGTTAATACCACTATCGTTATCCAATTAGGCATGTTTTAAACATTCACTGTTTAAGAAACATTATGAATACATGGGTGTATGCAAGGGGGGGGGGGTCAGGAAGGTCGTACGACCCCCACCCCCAAAAATGACAAATGAAAATGCATTGAGGTACCAGCAATGAGTCCAAACACCTTGCCAAATGCGTGACGTAATCTATCTCAATTCCAGCAATTCTAAAACTGAGCCTGCCATCCGTTTCAAGATGGTGGCGCTGTAATCGATTTTCCTGTCTCCCACTGAAAAGGTCCAAAAAATTGTGATCACGACCCACCCAGAACAAATCCTGGATACACCCCTGGAATATTACTAAAACATTCATTTTTCAAGTTGTCCATCTTTAAACAATTGTCGTTACAGACGGTCATATAGGCCGGATAGATGCGCTACTAATTATAACTCCATTGGCATTGATATATAATACATGGTTATTACGTGGGATAATATTGTGACAAAAATGCCCCTCATCAGAGATCACATTACATTGATTTTCTACAACGGTGGATATATAGCTATAATAATCACTGCGATAGTAACTTGACATAGGCCTACTTTGTGTTTGTTGATTCAATTTAAATAATTGATTCTTAATAATATTACGTTTATCGTTTATAATATAAGTACCGTCTATCTAATAACACAAAAGTACCGTCTATAGTAATTTATTTTAAATATACCTTAATCGCTCGTGTAACACTTTTGTGTTAACCTTTTGAGACGGTTTATGACGTCATTGAATAATATTAATTGGGAACCACACCCCGAATGGTACTCCACGTGACATCAATGTAGAGACAGTTAATTTGGTGTTATTGTGCGAATTCAATCTTTTATAAACACCCACGCATTTTAATGTTGTTAAAGATCACCTCTCATCAGTATAATAGTAACATCAACAGGAAATATAGCCATACGTGCGGCGACCAGGATGCGGAATAACGTACGGCTAACTGGGTGTGGAAAAGTGGCACGGCGACGCGCTGGATTTGGAAAAAGTCACCCTTGCGCCGCGCTAAATGTTTGCTCCAAACTGTGCAGTATGAATGCATAGCAAATCAAACGTAACCATTCAGCGTCTCAAACCTTCTGCAACTCTATTCAAGGTTTTGTAAAATATCGCAAATACACCAAACATTTATGACGATACTAATAGTAAAGATGAAACACTGCGAAAGCCAATTAAATGCTCTATAAAATACAGCATCGAATTCATTAATACAGTAGATGAAGGCGAAGTGTAGGCCTACGCTATATTTCGTCGTCCGTAAGATCTGTTTTAAAACCCACATAGTATTACGTCCTACGTCCGTATGACTATAAAAAGGAATTGTCGCCACTCACAATGGCAGAGAGAGAAGAAATAAATAAGCAAAACAAATATAATGTAGATCAATACATACATCTCACTCAATACATACACTTATTACCATCATTTTTACGTACTAACAGTACTAAATGAGTCTGTGGGCCGGCTACAGACTCAAACTAAGGGATGGAATTCTGTATACAGTAAATCAATCATCATATCTACGGTGGGGATCCGTGCTGTAGGGGCATAATTCGGTGCCACAGCGCCACCTCGGCTCTTTTTGGCTGCATAATCTCTGACCAGTGTGTCCGTCCAGTCTCTACATTACTATTTAGACCGATTGAAACTTGACCTAGCACACCACCCTCGCTCTTAGGCCGATAAAATCGATCTTTCATCACGATAAGCTGTAATGAGTAATTTTTAATGTCTTCATCATTGTGAAGATGGAAGAGAAATGGTTGGTTCCAGATGGGAGAGTAACCGACTATCGACCGACTTGTCTCCGTCTGTACTGTCCGACCGTTGATGAGCAGATTTACAATCACATAATGATCTGAAAAAAGAAATAGTAAGGAAAGTGAGTGCGAGGATCGATGACTTAGTAATTTATACGTACCCTAATTAGTATTAACTCGTCTGGTTCAAATCTTGTACCGATTAATGTGCATGATCAAGACATTATTGAAGCACACATTTTGCGCATACGGTCCGAAGCCAGAGTGATCATGAAAAAGGAATCATCGTCAAAATGATCTCATTATCTACCATTGGTAATTTTTGTTTGTCGAAAAAGAATTGTTGATTTGCACTATATAATTCCATCTATTGGTCCTATAGTAATAATAATAATAATAATAATGATTATTATTATTATTATTATTATTATTATTATTATTATTAGTATTAGTATTATCATTATTATTATTATTATTATAGTTGTCGTCTAATCATTGCTATCAAAATTAATCATACAGTATTTTTTATTATAGGCCTAATTATAATGTTCTTTACCAGCTGTTCCAGGCAGTTTGTTGGTTCGTGTCAGCCTAGCTGCTTTCCTTAGCATCACTTTAATTCGATTGGCTAAAGACTGGTATTCAATCGACAGAAACAAATTGCCCATAGCCCTCTCCTCATCCTCACCGTCGTTGCCTAACGAACCCAACGATTGTACCTAATATCAAAACAAAATAAAAAAAAAAAAAAAAAAAAAAAAAAAAAAAAAAAAAAAAAAAAAACGATAATCATAGTTTTTAAACATAAATTTACCGGATGTAACCGGATGTCTGGTACTTTAACCTTCGTCTGAATGTACGTCACATGAATTAATAATCAAGATTTTTACATAATTGTCACGATAGCATAATTTATTCAAAGGTTAATTATTACCGTATTTTACAAACCCATAACCAATCTCGCGACTATCAAGTTCTATTTTCACAACACTTAATATAGTTACAAGTTTAATGTAGACCCACAATATATCCGACAGTATAGTGTTCGTTGACAGGATCAGCCGTTGTTTGTAGAAGTCGTAATGAGTTTTAGTATAGTTGATGTAAGCGGTAGCGTTAGACTAAATCTCAGAGCCGTCATTGATCAAGCGATGACGTCAGCACTTGAACTTATACATTAATGGAAGAAACCATGATCTTTGTAAAAGCAATATGATTTACAAGTATACTATATTGCTATTTTTTTTTGGCTGATATATTTACTGTTCAATAAAATAAATACAGTTTGGGAATTGGTGCAATATGAAGGTAGTCAATTTGGAAGTTGTTCAATGCAATGTTATCTCGTAAACAGCGTGTCTGTACACCGCGGCTCAAGCGTTCAGGAATTATAAGTTTTACGTTTTATTGCTTCTATACTAATGGGGATTCCAGGTTTATTTTGATCATGGGAGTGACTATTATGAATAGCATTTGATATTTTAGCATTTGAGAATAGGTTGTGGTTCGGTGAAAAATCATTCAAACCAAAGATTCTGGTTTAGTAAGTGTGAAGCTATTTGCGGATCTTATCATTATTTACTAAGTTCTACTTAAGCCATGGAATATATTTAAAATGCTTCAGATTAAATTCTAGCTTAGGAAGATGGTCGGTTTATTTATTTTTACTGATTGATTTGGTCATAGGCGGATGATACATATTTGGGCTGTTAACTTACGTTTACATTTTAGCTTTTGCTTTCTCCCACAGCATTTTTTTAATTA